TCCTTCGCCGGAATTTTCCCCAGAGCATGAGAGAACACGTCACCAAAAGCCCCGGCGCAGAAGTCCTTGGCCGACTCCATAAACTCGCCGGTATTCCGGTAACCGGAGGTATCGATGCACCATTCCGGGGTGGCATCTTTTGGGGCCGGAAGTACCGGCATGAGCTTGAAGCCGGCCTTCTCCAGGCAGGCCAATTGGGCGCCGGTTTCAGCCCGGAGGGACTGAAGCTCCTCCCTAGCCGAAGCAGCCTCTTCCTCTGCCCGACGGGCGGCCTCCCGAGCCTTCAGTATGGCGGCTTCGGCCTTGATCTTTGCCTCCTGCAGGGCGGCATCCCTGGCAGCCTCGGCCTGCAGCACCAACAGCCCTGACTGAAAGAAAAAAATGGGATAAACAGAGTTTAGACGGCGAAGCGACGAGCGTCAAGGGGACAAGATGGGTCGAATCGCAACAATACCTGGATGGCCGCAGCAAGAGCAGCGCTGGTCGCCTCGGAAGACGACCGGGGGGGCAGTTCGAGGCCAGCTTTAGCCCCAAGCTCCCTCCAAAGCTCCTCAGCCGGCCGGCTCAGGGATAGACCGCTAACATCCTCAACGATGGGGCCGGAGGAAACACAGTCTCGCCCCCTCTTCGTTTTCTTCTCCGGGGCCTTCTCGCTCCCCTTCTTGGGAACCACTTTTGTGGCAACGACCGGCGGGGGGAGAGCAGTTTCAGCATGATGAGTCAGGGCCCCCTCGTTCAGCAGGGTGGCAATCAGGTGCTGCTCACCGTCTGCAGTCCGACGGGCGGCGTCGGAGGCCGATGATCCGGCTCCATGGGCGGCTGCCTCTCTGGCCGCTTTGGCCGCAGCCATCTTCGCCTTCCTGTTCCTCAGGCACTCAGCATTGTCCATTTGTTCGGCGGTAAGGGGGAGACCTGCAAGAGAGAAATACAAGAATATGAAAAGACGAACAGGGATAGGGAGGAACACCCACCTCAGAGGACAGGACCGCCCGTGCCCCGAGACGAGCGTCCAAGGGAGGAAGAAATCCAGGAACACGGGCGGTACCTATGCCTGCTTCAGAGAGTGCCTCGACGGTCAGGTATTCCCCTATAGGGCGAACGCCGCCTTCCAGGACTTTCTTCACTTCCACTTCCAGCCCGGCCGACAGCGCCGGCGACTCAATCTTCGGAGGGTAGCCGTTCCACCGGATTGGGAGGGGAGGACCGTCATATCTAAGAAAAAAGAGCCTATTTTTCCAATCATGGATGGAGGAAGGATAGTGCTCAAATAGCTTCCTCTTCGGACGAGCGGCCACACTCAGGTAACCGTCGGAATTCTGCGGGGTGACCCGGTAGAAGTAGTGGAACAGATCCAGCGATATGACGGCTTTTGCGGACGAACAGCGCACGAGGAATGCGGAGATAAATCTATAAGAGTTGGGCATGAACTGCGCCGGAACCACCTGGTAGCAGTTGAAGAACTCCACGTAAAAGGGATGGAGAGGAAACCGCAGACCGGCCTCCACAGAATCCACATGCAGGATGATCATCCCCGGCCGACGCCGCATGGCATGTTCGGCCCCGCTATGGCTAAAGACGAACGGATGGGGAAAGAAGGAAGCAATCTTGTTCATAGCGACGCTGGAGAGGGACTGCCTGTGCTCTAAGACACTCTTAATCTTGCAAATGTGCCTCTGCACATCCATGGGAATACCTAAATCGTGCACCTCCAGGTCGGAGCCAGATTGGGCCTCGTCTGCAGAATCATAACCGGCGGGGCGCTCGTTCAGGGGGACGGCGTCAATAACATCTACGGCCCCGTCGGCACCCCCGTCCCCGGCGTCGCTCCCACTACTTTGCGACACATTATCCGGCTCGCCATCAGCCCGGATGGTCCCCACCGTCGTGGCTGAACCAGAGGTCCCGGAAATGCTGGCCTTCCCGGGGGAGCGAGCACTCACATCGGCCGAAGAGGAGCCCGAGGAGGAACCCGACGAACCGGAATCAGAGCTTGACGAAATCTCCATCGAAGTCATTTCGGCTAGGAATCAGAACAAGAAAAGGAGCAGAGGGGGGAAATTACCTTACAAAGGGGTAAGCCGGATTCAGAAGAAGACTTGAAGAGCTGCGGAAAATCGGGAGCAAGAGAGCAGAAATTGGGAACCCTAATTCAGAGGGAAAACCCGGTATTTAAAGGAGAAAACACCGATGGCGAAGCCAACAAGGGGCCGACACGTGGCAAGGAGCGTACCCCGGCCACGCGCTGTGCGTGGGATGGGAACGTAATGATGACACCTCCTCGGGAAAATGCACCGCCGCAACATCAGCCGTCACCTCGTTTCCTGAACCGGCGACAGCTGTCAAGCACCATGACCACGAGCGTACGCTTCCACCAGATGCAATAAACATAAGTATCAAGATACGGACGTCTACTTCGGGGGGGTTCATACTTCCTTATGTCCTGCGCATGCTCAGAACATCAGAAGTGGGGGACTTGTGTTGGGTTAAGGGCCCAAGCCGAGGTCCGGCCCACTAACCCATTTTGCCAGACGAACGTCCAGCTAGAAACCAGGCCAGCCCACAGGCCCATGTCTCTTGAGGATGGACGAACGTCTGGTGTTGGAGGACTCAGGCCCAGCAGCTCATTCCGACGAACGTCTGTGCAGAGACAAAGAGCAGAATCACGGGCCAGCGGGGATGGCGACGAACGTCCCCGGAGCAAGCCTGTGGTTATCGGGGAAAACCCAGTGCACATGGTGAGTATCTATAAAGGACAGGCGACGAACAGCCGATATCCCTCAAGGGTCACTTGGAGCAATCCAACTCACTTCCGGGGTGGACGAACGTCCCCACTGATCCGGCGGGAAACCTAGATTCTGGCGGGAAGTGCATTTAATGCTAAAGATTTGGTAGTTGGGACACCAGCGGTCCACAGGCTGCCACGTCAGTACAGCCACCTGCCCATTGGCGGGTATAAATAGAAGCATTTATTTCATTGTAAAGGGTTGGCAACTTTCTATTCTTAGCATACTAGCTTCAGCACTCTTACTCGCAGCATTTCTAACTGCCTTGTAAGACGAACGGCCGACGTGCCTTTGTTAGCAAGTAGATTGTACTTAGGGGAGTTATTACGAAGTTAATAATACCTATTTACATTGCCTGCTATTACTCTTGTTTCCTGATTCATCTAATAGTTGTTGGGCTAGATAACCATACATCCACTCCACTCGAAATCTTTGGGCTTACGTGTTGGGTCCAAGGGTTGAAGGAATAAACCTCAACAAGGTCAAAAAAGCTTTACTGGTTTCGGAGTTGGCAAACCCGAATTCAGTGGCGTCAGACTTTATTGGTTTCGGAGTTGCCAAATCCGAATGCAGAGATAAGATTTCGGACTACGTGATTGGTGCTCTACAGATGGGAGGATAGTTTTGTTGTTATAAATTCACCTTCCTACCTGCCTCCTCCCATACCTTCAACTCTCCTCTCAACTCCTCTATTGAAAGGTTAGTGATTTATTCCTCCTCCTCCTTATTCATTATTATTATTATTATTATTATTATTATTATTATTATTATTATTATTAGTATTATTATTAGTATTATTTATAATTCGATAAAATTTGTATTATTAATGTGTGCATGTATTAATTTATGACTTGAAATATTATGGAGTAAATTTTACGTAGGTAATGTAGTAATATTTTTTTATTATTATATTAGTAGTAAGAATTGTAGAAAAAAGATTTAATATTTCTATAAAAGTAGGTGAATAGAAAAAATGACATACTACGTCTCGTGTCAGATAAAAATACACTTTATCAGATAAAAATATTCCCGATAAGATAAAATATCTCGGAATACGCCCTCATCCACTCCACACCTAACCTCATTATTTCCAACCACCCCAATAATATCTCTGGTCAGAGAAAAAAATACACTTTATCAGATAAAAATATTCCCAGTCAAATAAAATATCTCGGAATACGCCCTCATCCACTTCACACCTAACCTCATTATTTCCAACCACCCCAATAATGCATCCGGTCAGATAAAAAAATACACTTTGTCAGATAAAAATTTACCCGGTCAGATAAAATTTCTCGGAATACGCCCTCATCCACTGCACACCTAACCTCATTATTTCCAACCACCCCAATAATGCCTCCGGTCAGATAAAAAAATACACTTTATCAGATAAAAATTTACCCGGTCAGATAAAATAACATGCTAGGTATTAGTTAATGGTCTAAGAAATTACTACGGAGTATTTGTTATGTAGTACTCTGAACTAGTTAATCCTTCCTTATCAAAATAAGTGTCTTACTTCCATTTTAGATGTATGAATTACTACATGTGGGAAGGATATATGATTCATTTGGTAAATATATAATTCAGATTAATATTTACGTAGTTATAAAATAATAGTGGACACATCAAAATGGTGCCATGTACATCAAATCAAGGTCCTTCAATGGTTCAAATGGATCCCTCACATGAGGCCGTGGAGGATGAAGATGACCCTGACTACAACAATCTTTCATTTTCGGAAGAGGAGAGCGCTTCCGAGGATAGTGATGATAGTCATGACTCGTCTTGGGCTGTGCCACACAACCAAGAGGATCCGTTTGTTGAACCCGTCTACCGTGTGGAAGATCCAATACATGTGGGAAGGATATATGATTCATTTGACGAACCCAAAAAGCAGTCTCTATTCAATCCTTGAAAGAGTACCGAGCATTTGAGAATGTGTCAAAACGTCCTACATACTGGAGGGCGAGATGCGTCCATCCAGAGCAATGTTCGTGGCACATTCAAGCAGCACAAGTGAGGGACACTAACTCTTGGAAGGTAAAGCAGTATCAACCCCGTCATAATTGCATTCCGACTTACACAAGAGCAAAAATCGACAAACTGCTTACAAGTAAGTTCATCGCTTCTGAAATAAGTTCTACGATTCGCATAAAACCAGACTATAGTATTAAGCTAATAATGAATGACATACACCAAAAGTATAACATTCATGTTGGATATAAGAAAGCATGGTATGCGCGTATATTAGCTTTGGAGCAACGGTTCGGCAATTGGGAGACATCGTACAACGATCTCCCAAATGTCTTACAAGCAATGGCGTATACTAATCCAGGGAGCATAATTGATATTCAAACTGATAACACCAACACCCAAGGTACATATGAGTTTAAATTTGCATTTTGGTCAATAAAAGCGGCGATTGACGGCTTCAATCATTGTCTTCCGGTGGTGTCAATTGATGGAACTCACTTGTATGGCAAGTACAAGGGTCATCTTCTAGTCGCGGTGGCAATGAATGCAAACCGTGAAATCTACCCGCTAGCATTTGGAGTGGTAGATAGTGAGAATGGTGCTAGTTGGACGTGGTTCTTACAATTGCTTGTGTCACGCCCCAGACCGCGTCTGTGCCACGTGGACAACCGTCGTACAACCCAATAAGAATAACCGCAGTTCATCCTTACCGAATTGCACAAGACGTCCGATAGATACATATGCCAAAACCGATTAGTAAACATACATAACAACATCAACATACAATCAAACACATAGCGGAATATAAGTGTTTAATAAGAACCCACACAAGGGTAAAACAAGAGCTCGCAGGCTCCTTTAATTTATAAGTCAAAATAGTTCCATGAGCATTATTTAATTATTTAAAAAAAATAGAACGAGAGGAAGCACGAACCACGTCTTCTCTCCATCGATCTCCCGAGCAACGGGTGCAGGAAGTAAGCTCTAGCTTCAACCTGAAAGGGTGGTTCCCCCGAGGGATCAGTACTACAGAAAAGTACTGGTGAGGGCAAACTGTATGTAATGTAACTAACGTTTCTCACGTGAGACCCTCAAAATAGGGTGATAGTATAATTATGGGCATAACTCTTAGCTACCCCTTTTCAAAACAAAATGTATACATATATACATATGAGTAAAATATCTGGCCCGTGGGCCCTTTGTCTTTCAAATCATTTAGGCGTAACAGCCTCATTAAATTCATCCTTCCCATGCCTTACCCTCGAATGGAGTCACCCGCGGGCTAACTCACTCGATACTAAAATATAATTACTGTGGGGCCCTTCGGACTCCCATATCACAGACATGGTTTAAATCAATCCCTAGACCAAGGAAAATATTATATCGGGAACTCGTTCCCGATCAAGCACGTTTAATCATTTAAAATCATTACTTCGAGGTTCACCTACCTCGAGGACTATCCGTCCTTGCTATCATAGTTTTCATTTCCGGGTTAACCCCGCCTCAAGGAGTACGCATACACCCTCATCCTATGTGTAATTTACTGGAGGTTAACACACCTCAAGGACTACACAGGCCCTTGTTACCTATATGCACTTTGATGGAGGTTAACACACCTCAAGGACTGCATTTGCCCTTGTTAACTATATGCAATTTGATGGAGGTTAAACACACCTCAAGGACTGCACTTGCCCTTGTTACCTATATGCAATTTGATGGAGGTTAAACACACCTCAAGGACTGCATTTGCCCTTGTTACCTATATGCAATTTGATGGAGGTTGAACACACCTCAAGGACTGCATTTGCCCTTGTTACCTATATTCAATTTGATGGAGGTTGAACACACCTCAAGGACTGCATTTGCCCTTGTTACCTATATGCAATTTGATGGAGGTTAAACACACCTCAAGGACTGCATTTGCCCTTGTTAACGTTTGAGTGTAGAGGACTCCTCCTGGTCCTACAGAGTATTATATAACCTTACTTGGTCCCGGGTATTCACCCGCCATTTATAATCTACCACGTGCCTCGCCCGGTCGTGGTCTATAATTTCTTTACTAACGACTAGTCCAAGTCTTAGCGTTTAAACCGTATTCCAAGCCTTATCATTTTAAACATCATATTTCATGCAATTCCATGCAAAATATTCATATATAGGATGACCAGAATTAATCCCACGTCAAACCGGGTCCGATTTGGGTTTTTAGCAAAAATCAGTCCTGAAAGCCGAGACATAACCGGCGCCGGTTTTACCCATAACCGGCGCCGGTTTACTGATTTTTTTGTAGTAAACCGAACCATAACCGGCGCCGGTTTTGCCTATAACCGGCGCCGGTTATCCCTTGGGCAACCGGTCAACATTTTGGTCAACGCCCGTTTGACCATCCAAACGGGGTCCGATTTTCACGAAATTTTATACACTTATGCAACAAGTCATTCCTAGTCCAAAAATATTATTTTGGACGTCCAAATCATCACACATAATTTATAATCATTTTCTGTCCAAATTAAAGCATATTAAATACACTTATTAATACTATTAATAAGTAAATCTTTCCTTAATACATTCTTAGATGTATTTAATATTTCATGGAATATCATTCTGTTTTATTTGAGTAATCTCATGCCCAAGCCCAAATCATGGCTCATGATCCTTTCTTACAACCTTTTATTCATACCATTAATTGATTAATCATTAATTATGCCATATTTCCATAATCCATAATTAATATGACTAATCACATATCACATATCTTTTTATATTTCTTTACTAGATAACTCTAGTTAATCACATACACGGTTCAAGTATACCTTCTTATTCATTTAAGAAAAATATACTCATGATTAATTAATAAATTAATCTATTTTTTTTATTTATCATATAATACTTCCATAATCCATATTTAATATGGATAATCACAACTTTACAACCCTTTTATATTCACTTACTAGATTATTCGAACTTATCTCATACATGGTTCAAGTATATCCTCTTATGCATTAAGAAATATATACTACGTACTAATGATTAATTAATAAATTAATCTATTTTTTTCATTAGTCATATACACCATGACTAATCATGCATTTTAATCCATTTCATCATTTCTCAAATCATGGTTATGATTTTATTTAGGTAATCCCACGTTTGAACCAAGAGTTACAAGACACGTAGTCGTCCACTCACCTTGAAATGACGCTAGCGAGTTTTTATCCCCTTTGTTTGAACTCCGACGACCTTTGAATTTTCCGGCGAAACCTCCGGCCGCTCCGGCGACTTTCCGGCCACTCCTAGGTTCCTTGAGAAGTCTAGAATATTTTAGTAAAATTCCTAACAAGGTTTCACAACCAAAAGTGGTATAAACGTCAAAACCTTCCAAGAAGGTTTTTCCGGTGAACCGGTCTTACTCCGGTTATAACTCCGTTCATGGTTAAACTTAGTCTTTCAAACCCTCATTCTACACCTCTAGAAGTGTAGAACAAGTTTAAAAGTCTATCATATGATTTATAAAATCATATGAGATTAAAATGAAGGAGGAAAAATAATAATGAAGTCCTTACCTTGATTTTCCAAGTTTTTCCTCACTTATGCTAGCTTTTCTTCTTCTTTGAGTCCCCTCAATTCTTGAGCTCGGTTCTTGGACATGGAAATGAGATGTTGGAGACTTCTTCTCTCTATTTTGGGTGGTATGGCCGAAGGGGGTAGGGGGGAGGTGGAGGAGACCTTCCTATTTGGTCTCACATGCCATAATAATGGGAGGAGGGTCCCTTTACCTATCATGTGTGTCTCTCCCATCCCCTCACACATCACACACCTCACTCTCATAATCTCATCACTTATTTTTAGACTAAAAAACGTGGGGTGGCCCCCACTCGTGTGGGAGGTCATCCCAATATGTCCCGAAGTGTACATTCGGCCCCGAAAGTTGTATTTTCTGGACTGTTTTAATTATATTTTATTTTATCGGGTTAAGTAAAATATATATCATTCTTCCAATTAATATTGGACTCTAAAATGAATATATATTACCCAACTTCAATTTAGTGGTCCCCGGAATTTATTTCGGGCTGTTATCTGATTAATTAACTATACCGATGATGGGACCTCGTTTGTTTGAAAGGCCAACTTTATGGCTCACATTAATTTACACCATCATATAAATATTATCTAAACCAAGATGAATATAATATGTGGTCCGTAAATATCGGATGGTCGCCGCCCACGTGTGGGCCCAACGTGTATTTTACTGTTGAAGTAACAGTAAAAATAAGAACGCGTTGCCTCGAAAATTCACTCGTCATTTCTCATTACTTAATATGTGGTTTCATATTTGGTGACACTTTAATAAAATGTTACACTTATTTTTAAGTGGTCCGAACTGTATGAACAGACAAAATCTTATCTGTTTATTCTTATACAAAATATCTCCAAGGTAGGGTCCTCCAAAAGTACCCACCTCTAACATGTCAAGTTGCTCATTGTTATCCATCATCCCATGTTTTGGGTTCTTAAAATATTTATATTCCTTCTGTTATTAATTCGCAGCCTTCCGAATTATTACCAGTCCGATAATCAAAGACTCACAATTATCGAATAGTTACACCGACCCGTTTGGCCGTCTAGTTGTCATTCTTTATATTACCGGGGTCCAGGAACCATCCATACTATCATAATAGTATCATTTTGATAAACATTAATATTTTATAAACTCGAAATATCATGAGTGGTCCCCACGTCTAAATTAATAATCCTTTATTAATTTAAGACAAAATTTTTACTTTCTCATTTATCAAGACTACTCTTAGCCTTGATTTACCTTCTTTAACCCAGTACTTGATGAAAAAATTTTCTCACAGTAAAATTCGGGTCTGGTGTTACAAGTTCACCCCACCTTACAGGAATTTCGTCCCCGAAATTAACGTCTGAACCTTGAGAAACATTCCTCCCTTCATTTTCTGAAGCTAAAAATTTTGAACATAAAAATATTTATGGAAATTAAGGTTTGATTTAATAATACCTTATGCCATAATCGGGCCTAACAAATGGCTTCCGCCATTCCTGGCCTTCACGAGCGAGTTCGCCATTGACTTGTAGAAGGTACCATGTTTGAGGCAACCCTAGTTGGGTTTTCAACCCCCGTGACCCCTCCTCTAGCTCCTGATGTTCCTTCACGCGTACGTTGAGGACAAAGGACCTTGATGTGGCCTGTTTCTCCACAAAAGTAACATCTAGATGGCTCTCGACATCTCCCGTAATGCCTTCGCCTACAATTCTCGCATTTGGGTGCCCCCGTGCCTCGAGTGATTGAGCTTTGACTTACCAAGTCCTGGCTCTCACTGAAAAACGGAACTGACTTGTTAGAGTTCCCCTTGCTCTGAAGTTCATACTTTCCCTCTCGTCGTGGAGGGTGAATGATCACCTGATCTCTTTCTTGTGCTTCCTTTGCATCCCTTGCTTGCCTTTCCTTCCAAAGCTCCTCCCCCTGGAGACCCTGGGCTACTACTTCACTAAAAGTCATGTTGAATTGGTAGGTCGCTCTTTCGCGTATTTCCAAATTGAGTGCATTCCAAAAATGGTTTGCCATTCGGTTCTCATTTGCGGCATACTCAGGCAAGAACCTTGCCAGATGTCGGAATCTTTGTTCCAGTTGCTTCACCGTAAACTCATTTCCCTGTTTGAGATCGATATATTCCCTCCTCTTTCGATTTACTTCGAAAGAGGTGTAAAACTGCTCATAGAATGCTTGCTCGAAGTTGTCCCACGTGACAACCCCATCAAACTTACCCTTGGTGCCTTCCCACCAAGTAGAAGCTAAACCCTCCAATAATCTAGTGGCTACCCTTAACTTTCGTTCAGGGACCACTTGCATGTCATCAGCTGCATCATTCAACCTTTTTATCCACTCGGCTGCTTCCGATATGTCCCCCGTTCCATCAAATGACTTGCACCCCAAGGCTCTAGCCTCTTTGAGGTACCTTGAGATCTTAATGAATGGTCCTTCGTCATCAGAATCTCTGACTGTCCTAACTTGTGCTCTATGAGCACCCTGACCCCTCGTGAGAGAGGTCTCGCCTCTGACATGTCCCTCCTGAGATCCCTGTCGTTGTCTTCCCATTTCACGTTGGTACCATCGGTACATCTCACTAACATGGTCCGGAGGAATACTACGTATATCCTCTCCACTGTTTTCCTCAAAGGAAGTTTCATCTGACTCGCTTTCAGGGTGATAAGTTGAGTCATCCTCTGAGTTCCACGACTCGAATTCAGTCACATTGTGATCAGCCATCGTGGCTCGTGTTCGTGGGCCTTGGTTGCCCATACCTCGCCTTTTACGCGACCTTGATATTCCCCGATTGGCTTGCCCGGCTATCCCCGGGGCGCGCCCTCTCGGATTTCCTCGAACCGCCCTATCACTACCACCCATTCCTGAAAGAATATGTTGGAATGAGTCTTTGGACTCGTTTGAATGCCAATTGACAGAAACGTACTCAAGACACAACTTGGCTCTAGTCACTGTCATACCAATTGTTAAGGGGCCCATCTTAACAACCAGAGACCTTGCAACTCGATAACCATGTGCTCTTAAAGTACAAAACTTATGCTCATGGTTTTTCATTGAAAACTGTTTTGATAGAAACTCTGTTGAATGGTTGACTATATAGTTTAGAAATCGTATGGCTCTGATACCACTTAATTGTCACGCCCCAGACCGCGTCTGTGCCACGTGGACAACCGTCGTACAACCCAATAAGAATAACCGCAGTTCATCCTTACCGAATTGCACAAGACGTCCGATAGATACATATGCCAAAACCGATTAGTAAACATACATAACAACATCAACATACAATCAAACACATAGCGGAATATAAGTGTTTAATAAGAACCCACACAAGGGTAAAACAAGAGCTCGCAGGCTCCTTTAATTTATAAGTCAAAATAGTTCCATGAGCATTATTTAATTATTTAAAAAAAATAGAACGAGAGGAAGCACGAACCACGTCTTCTCTCCATCGATCTCCCGAGCAACGGGTGCAGGAAGTAAGCTCTAGCTTCAACCTGAAAGGGTGGTTCCCCCGAGGGATCAGTACTACAGAAAAGTACTGGTGAGGGCAAACTGTATGTAATGTAACTAACGTTTCTCACGTGAGACCCTCAAAATAGGGTGATAGTATAATTATGGGCATAACTCTTAGCTACCCCTTTTCAAAACAAAATGTATACATATATACATATGAGTAAAATATCTGGCCCGTGGGCCCTTTGTCTTTCAAATCATTTAGGCGTAACAGCCTCATTAAATTCATCCTTCCCATGCCTTACCCTCGAATGGAGTCACCCGCGGGCTAACTCACTCGATACTAAAATATAATTACTGTGGGGCCCTTCGGACTCCCATATCACAGACATGGTTTAAATCAATCCCTAGACCAAGGAAAATATTATATCGGGAACTCGTTCCCGATCAAGCACGTTTAATCATTTAAAATCATTACTTCGAGGTTCACCTACCTCGAGGACTATCCGTCCTTGCTATCATAGTTTTCATTTCCGGGTTAACCCCGCCTCAAGGAGTACGCATACACCCTCATCCTATGTGTAATTTACTGGAGGTTAACACACCTCAAGGACTACACAGGCCCTTGTTACCTATATGCACTTTGATGGAGGTTAACACACCTCAAGGACTGCATTTGCCCTTGTTAACTATATGCAATTTGATGGAGGTTAAACACACCTCAAGGACTGCACTTGCCCTTGTTACCTATATGCAATTTGATGGAGGTTAAACACACCTCAAGGACTGCATTTGCCCTTGTTACCTATATGCAATTTGATGGAGGTTGAACACACCTCAAGGACTGCATTTGCCCTTGTTACCTATATGCAATTTGATGGAGGTTGAACACACCTCAAGGACTGCATTTGCCCTTGTTACCTATATGCAATTTGATGGAGGTTAAACACACCTCAAGGACTGCATTTGCCCTTGTTAACGTTTGAGTGTAGAGGACTCCTCCTGGTCCTACAGAGTATTATATAACCTTACTTGGTCCCGGGTATTCACCCGCCATTTATAATCTACCACGTGCCTCGCCCGGTCGTGGTCTATAATTTCTTTACTAACGACTAGTCCAAGTCTTAGCGTTTAAACCGTATTCCAAGCCTTATGATTTTAAACAACATATTTCATGCAATTCCATGCAAAATATTCATATATAGGATGACCAGAATTAATCCCACGTCAAACCGGGTCCGATTTGGGTTTTTAGCAAAAATCAGTCCTGAAAGCCGAGACATAACCGGCGCCGGTTTTACCCATAACCGGCGCCGGTTTACTGATTTTTTTGTAGTAAACCGAACCATAACCGGCGCCGGTTTTGCCTATAACCGGCGCCGGTTATCCCTTGGGCAACCGGTCAACATTTTGGTCAACGCCCGTTTGACCATCCAAACGGGGTCCGATTTTCACGAAATTTTATACACTTATGCAACAAGTCATTCCTAGTCCAAAAATATTATTTTGGACGTCCAAATCATCACACATAATTTATAATCATTTTCTGTCCAAATTAAAGCATATTAAATACACTTATTAATACTATTAATAAGTAAATCTTTCCTTAATACATTCTTAGATGTATTTAATATTTCATGGAATATCATTCTGTTTTATTTGAGTAATCTCATGCCCAAGCCCAAATCATGGCTCATGATCCTTTCTTACAACCTTTTATTCATACCATTAATTGATTAATCATTAATTATGCCATATTTCCATAATCCATAATTAATATGACTAATCACATATCACATATCTTTTTATATTTCTTTACTAGATAACTCTAGTTAATCACATACACGGTTCAAGTATACCTTCTTATTCATTTAAGAAAAATATACTCATGATTAATTAATAAATTAATCTATTTTTTTTATTTATCATATAATACTTCCATAATCCATATTTAATATGGATAATCACAACTTTACAACCCTTTTATATTCACTTACTAGATTATTCGAACTTATCTCATACATGGTTCAAGTATATCCTCTTATGCATTAAGAAATATATACTACGTACTAATGATTAATTAATAAATTAATCTATTTTTTTCATTAGTCATATACACCATGACTAATCATGCATTTTAATCCATTTCATCATTTCTCAAATCATGGTTATGATTTTATTTAGGTAATCCCACGTTTGAACCAAGAGTTACAAGACACGTAGTCGTCCACTCACCTTGAAATGACGCTAGCGAGTTTTTATCCCCTTTGTTTGAACTCCGACGACCTTTGAATTTTCCGGCGAAACCTCCGGCCGCTCCGGCGACTTTCCGGCCACTCCTAGGTTCCTTGAGAAGTCTAGAATATTTTAGTAAAATTCCTAACAAGGTTTCACAACCAAAAGTGGTATAAACGTCAAAACCTTCCAAGAAGGTTTTTCCGGTGAACCGGTCTTACTCCGGTTATAACTCCGTTCATGGTTAAACTTAGTCTTTCAAACCCTCATTCTACACCTCTAGAAGTGTAGAACAAGTTTAAAAGTCTATCATATGATTTATAAAATCATATGAGATTAAAATGAAGGAGGAAAAATAATAATGAAGTCCTTACCTTGATTTTCCAAGTTTTTCCTCACTTATGCTAGCTTTTCTTCTTCTTTGAGTCCCCTCAATTCTTGAGCTCGGTTCTTGGACATGGAAATGAGATGTTGGAGACTTCTTCTCTCTATTTTGGGTGGTATGGCCGAAGGGGGTAGGGGGGAGGTGGAGGAGACCTTCCTATTTGGTCTCACATGCCATAATAATGGGAGGAGGGTCCCTTTACCTATCATGTGTGTCTCTCCCATCCCCTCACACATCACACACCTCACTCTCATAATCTCATCACTTATTTTTAGACTAAAAAACGTGGGGTGGCCCCCACTCGTGTGGGAGGTCATCCCAATATGTCCCGAAGTGTACATTCGGCCCCGAAAGTTGTATTTTCTGGACTGTTTTAATTATATTTTATTTTATCGGGTTAAGTAAAATATATATCATTCTTCCAATTAATATTGGACTCTAAAATGAATATATATTACCCAACTTCAATTTAGTGGTCCCCGGAATTTATTTCGGGCTGTTATCTGATTAATTAACTATACCGATGATGGGACCTCGTTTGTTTGAAAGGCCAACTTTATGGCTCACATTAATTTACACCATCATATAAATATTATCTAAACCAAGATGAATATAATATGTGGTCCGTAAATATCGGATGGTCGCCGCCCACGTGTGGGCCCAACGTGTATTTTACTGTTGAAGTAACAGTAAAAATAAGAACGCGTTGCCTCGAAAATTCACTCGTCATTTCTCATTACTTAATATGTGGTTTCATATTTGGTGACACTTTAATAAAATGTTACACTTATTTTTAAGTGGTCCGAACTGTATGAACAGACAAAATCTTATCTGTTTATTCTTATACAAAATATCTCCAAGGTAGGGTCCTCCAAAAGTACCCACCTCTAACATGTCAAGTTGCTCATTGTTATCCATCATCCCATGTTTTGGGTTCTTAAAATATTTATATTCCTTCTGTTATTAATTCGCAGCCTTCCGAATTATTACCAGTCCGATAATCAAAGACTCACAATTATCGAATAGTTACACCGACCCGTTTGGCCGTCTAGTTGTCATTCTTTATATTACCGGGGTCCAGGAACCATCCATACTATCATAATAGTATCATTTTGATAAACATTAATATTTTATAAACTCGAAATATCATGAGTGGTCCCCACGTCTAAATTAATAATCCTTTATTAATTTAAGACAAAATTTTTACTTTCTCATTTATCAAGACTACTCTTAGCCTTGATTTACCTTCTTTAACCCAGTACTTGATGAAAAAATTTTCTCACAGTAAAATTCGGGTCTGGTGTTACAGCTTGTGACACATATCATACCCCCTGCTCGAAATGTTTGCATCATCTCTGATAGGCATGCGGCTATAGATTATGCATTTCGAAATGTGGACCAATTGAGAACACCTCAAATTCAGAGACGTTATTGTCTTCGCCACATTAGAAGCAATTTCATGTCCCAATTTAGAAGTAAACAACTAAAGAAGTTGTGTTGGCGAGCGGGGAGTACCCCGATTGTAAGTGAATTTCATCATTACATGCAACAAATTCGGGGTACTAACGAGAGAGCATTCAAGTATTTAAATGACATTCCCCAAGAAAAATGGGCACTTTGTTTTGATGGTGGTTGTCGTTATGGTATTTTAACGACAAACCTTTCAGAAAGTTTCAACAATGCTCTCAAAGGATGTAGGACATTGCCAATCAGTGCCCTTGTACGAGCAACTTTTGACAAGCTAGTCCAGCTCTTCGCCCAACGTCGCACTGCTGGTATGATGTGGCAGCAAGCGGGATATCATTTCCCGGACAACATTCGGAAAGAGCTTATGGAGCGTTGGCAACAAAGACCTCACGCTGTGGTTCTTCCACACAACCATTACACAGGAATTTACTCGGTCTCTGTAGAAAATGAAACACCTGTTACAGTGAATCTATATAGACGCGTCTGTGACTGCGGTTGTTGGAGGATGAACGGAATGCCATGCGTCCATGCACATTCTGTGTGCCACTATCTTAGCTGTCCTGTTAATAATCTTATTCCTGAGGTATATAAATTGAGTTCTTACATAAATGCACATTCCAGTGATATCATGCCATTTCCGAATATGAATGAGTGGCCACAAAATGAGTTCACTCTTCTACCGCCTAAGTACTCTTCCAGAACTTCTCGAGCTGGACGCCGTCAAGAAACAAGATTTCCAAATGAGATGGATATGCGTCCAAGACGGAGAGGAGGACAACATGATTGATTTGTATTTGTACTCTTATAATGTAATCTTTTTTTGTACTTTGTTTTAATGTTATAAAATATTTATTAGCCATATGTTTTATATGTATCTTTAATATGACTTATTGTGCAATGAACTTTGTTTAATTTTGAATTCATATGACTTTATGGGTCACTTATAAATTAATCGTGTTATATTGTAAACTGTATTTGTATTTACTTTGGACTTCATAACACTGAATGGGTCAACTATTATTAAAAAGTGTGGAATTGATTTAATATGTTGGTAATTTTAATCAATAAAATTTGTTCTTGTAAATATATTAACATGTTCATACTTGTATTCATCTTTTCCGGGTTCACATTATTAATGGGTACGGTTTTATAATTTGAATTAGGTTCAAAAAATTATTTTGTTAATGTAAATGTAACTAATTTTTTACTATTTGTGCTCAAAACATTTAATGGGTCACTTTTGTAAAACGTGTGCTAATTTATTTTAATGGGTCAATTTTTCGTAAAACGCATATTTTGATCTAAATCGGGAATAGACACAAATTCAACTTAAATTACAAATATTGTATGATTTTTAAGTACGTTGAACAAAATACAATTTCTAACCACAATTATAAAACAAACTTCAAAACACAAAAATGAAAACAACATTTGGGATAATGCAGCCCCAATAAGCATAAACACCATTTGGGATAATGCAGTCCCAATAATCCGTATTAAAGGCAACAAAAAAGATACAAAAAAATATACTTTACTAATTCGGAGTTGCCAACTCCGAAATGGCAGCTTCCATTTTCGAGGTTGGGAACTCCGAAAATGAGTTTACTGCTGACAACCTGATTTCGGACCTGCCAACTCCGTTTTGCACTATCTCAGTAAACCCCAAAAAAATTGCACTTTTTGGAATGTAAGGTAAGAAATCTGCTCTGTTTCGTCAAACACCCCATATCCTGCTTCTTCTTCCTGCTAAGTTGGGACCTTCAATCCTCCTCCACCCACAGTAAGAAAAAAGAGGGAAACAAAAAGTAGCGATCATGTAAGCTCCTATTAATCTATCGAGCCATATAATAATTCATTAATCATTTTCCCTTGAATTATATAGTCTTGGCTTGAAACTGGCCATGTGTCAATTCATTTCAGGGAGGGTGGAATAAATTTGAAGCCAATGGACGCAGAACAACTAAGAGAGTGTGGTCATGAAATGGTTGATTTCATTGCCGATTACTACAAGAACATCGAGAGCTTCCCAGTTCTCAGTCAAGTCCAGGTTTTAGTTGGCTTTGGCAATCTATTTCTACTGGAATTAAAAACTGGAATGATTTTTAGTGGATAATTGTTATATCACAGTTCTTGACTATATCGAAGCATTATCTTCACACAGCCAGGTTACCTGCGTGGGATCCTCCCAGAATCTGCACCTACTGACCCAGAGACATTGCAAGATGTTCTTCAAGGTAACACTTTATAGTGCTGGTATATTACCTTTGACTTTGATATGTTAGAATGAAATTGACTCAGGAGTGAGCTAAAATATTTAATTCTGTAAAGAATGTCACAAACAAAATATGAAAGAGATATACGGGTTATCATGCCTCTATTGGATAAGTTAATAGATGAGACTCCATCTTGTATGCTGTAGCATGATTTGATCATGTTCATTATGATCTAGTTGAGTGACCCGAGTAATTTATATACACAACTCCCTCCATTCTAAATTGCTTGTGCCAGTCTCCAATCATAAGTTAATTATGCTCTCATTTAGTTTCTAACTTTGTGTACCAATGAGAGTTAATTTTAGCTACTAATCTTAGGGTAGCTCATGAATATGTTAATTTTAGCTACTAATCTTAAAAATTACGTATGAAGAATAATTTAATGCTCAGTCAAGCGTCATAATCCGTATGACAAACGGAGGGAGTATCACATTTTAACTATATGATGATGAGTAATTGCAGATGTCCAGACAAAGCTATTGCCGGGAGTAACACATTGGCAAAGCCCGGATTATTTTGCATATTTCGGCTCTAATAGTAGTGTGGCAGGATTTCTCGGGGAGATGCTTATTTCTGGGATTAACATTGTGGGTTTCAGCTGGATAACTTCTCCAGCAGCAACTGAACTTGAAATGGTTGTTTTGGATTGGCTTGCTAAAGCACTCAAGCTGCCTGATGCTTTTCTTTCAACCGGTAATCAGTTAAAAGTCCTGGTTATTCAATATTACAAACAGGAACTCTTGTTTGGTACTTCTGTAAAAATTGTATAATATTACGGAGTATATTACTATGTAAAGCACTAAGGCTTGGATGTTGTTGTTGTATATTACTTGTGGTCTAATTTGGATTCCAAAGGACATGGTGGAGGAGTAATACAAGGTACAGCGAGTGAAGCTGTTCTTGTTGTGCTTTTAGCCGCTCGAGACAAAATTTTAAGAGCACTTGGAAAAGAGTTTATAAGCAAGCTTGTGGTTTATGCTTCTGATCAGACTCATTCTTCTCTACAGAAGGCCTGCCAGGTTACCTGAACACATTTGCTTAATTTAACTTCACAAGAAAAAAAAAACTCTCAAGAGGTAAATATTGCCTGTAACACACTCTTCAACATACCTTGACAGTTTTCTCCCCGCTTGGTTTTGGACAGATTGCAGGAATATATTCAGAGAATTGTCGTTTTATAAAGACAGACTCATCCACTGAATATGCTCTTTCTCCAAACTCACTCAATGAAGCTATATCTGAAGATCTGGCAGCTGGTCTAGTCCCCTTCTTCTTGTGTGCTACTGTAAGAAAAGATGCAAGAAGTTACTCTATTTGAATAATGAAGAAAAACAGGCTTTTAATCTCAGTTTGTTTAGTCCTGCTTGCTTCTCATAGACCCATAATGTTCTTGCAATAAGTCTTCATCTTGAATGTTCACATAACTTTCGTTTTAACAGGTTGGTACTACATCATCTACTGCCATTGATCCCTTACTTGCACTTGGGAATATTACCAAGGTAATAAACACCAACCAGAGGGTTATTTAGAGCTCAGCTCATTTCTATTTGGAGCTCAAAAGTTATACAGGGTAAACATGTATCCCTCCCCCTTTTCCTATAAATGGGGGGGGGGGGGTCTCCATGTTTAGTGATCCCTTTCCTTCATTCCCTCTTTTCTCCACTCATCTCTCTCTTCTTCTCCCCAACCTAGAATAGCTTAAAAATTCCATTAATGGGAGCTCTTGTACAAGGTAACACCGGTGAGGAATATTAATAATAATAGAGTGGGCTAATTTTAGCCCGAAAAGTCCCGTGAATATCATCCTTTCGGGTTTCCACTTCAAACCGAGCGTTATTATTATTATTATTATTATATTGTTGTTGTTGTTGTTATTATTATCATTATCATTATTATCATTATCATTATCATTATTATTATTATTACTATTATTATTATTGCTTTGGTTTTATACACTAAATTCGTGTTGGAATTAACCTCAAAATCTCTCATTGAAATACAGCAACCAAGGCGTTGTTTGAACTTTGAACCCTCTTTTTTTCTTTCTTTATTTCCACATGAAAAACATACATTTACTGATGAATAAATACCACATCAAATTTGAAATTTACAATGTAAACATGTATATCTTCAATGAATTACGTGACTAGATTTTTTAAAATATATTTTTGCATCAGTTTTTCGAAATGATGAAATACAGTTGTTTAAGATATTACTATAACTATTATTATGATAATATATTTAAAATAACCTGTTTTTCAATATACAGAGTAATGGGATGTGGTTTCATGTGGATGCTGCATATGCTGGAAGTGCATGTATATGTCCTGAATTTCGCCATTATTTGGACGGTGTAGAAGAAGTGGACTCGTTTAACATGAATGCACATAAATGGCTCCTTACAAATTTTGACTGTTCTCTACTTTGGGTAAAGGTAATGCATGTTTCTTGAAAGTAACTAAACTTCATAATATTCAATTTCATGTCATTATGCAGACTGAGTATTTACAGGGGTATAAGGCTGGATCAACAATAAATAGTATCTGTTGTATTACGAACAGGACCGAAGTGCTCTGATTCAGGCTCTATCCACCAACCCTGAATATCTTAAGAACAAAGTAAGCATCTTTGTGAACTACAGTCTAGATTTCACTGATATTTCCTTCAGAAATACTTAAAAGCCAGTTTCTCTTTACTACACCTTTTTCTTCCATCTTTCAATTATAAAATAAAATGACGTTCAGGCTTCTCAAGGAAACCTGGTGATAGATTACAAAGATTGGCAAATTCCTCTTGGACGCAGGTTCAGGTATTTTGGCATTTTTCCAAATTTTTATATGATTATGATGCACTAAAATGTTCTTGAATTTTACCTTCCACCAAAACTGTTTTTTGGGGTTTCATTAATTATGGGGTATTATAAATTAACGTGCAGATCGCTGAAATTATGGATGGTTTTAAGACTGTATGGGTTGGAGAAGATTCAAGCATATGTGAAGAACCATATAGAATTGGCTAAACTGTTTGAAGAATTTGTTTCCCAAGACTCTAGATTTGAGGTAAGAAACTAAGAACCAGTTCAGTACAGCCAAGGAGCACTTTATTTATTATAATAAAAGCATAATAGTGATCAAGAACAGAGAATTTGTGTGCTTTAAAACTGATAAACCAATATTTGCAGGTTGTGACCCAAAGAAAGTTTTCATTGGTGTGCTTTCGGCTTCTGCCACCTCAGAAGGATGATGAAGCTCTTGCAGACAAACTCAACCGCGATCTTCTTGAATCTGTTAATTCCTCTGGGAAAATGTTTATTAGCCACACTGTTCTTTCCCATAAATATGTTCTGCGCTTCGCCGTGGGAGCTCCACTTACAGAAGAGAGGCATGTGGTTGCAGCTTGGAAACTTTTGCAAGATGGGGCTACTTCATTGTTAAGCAAAGCTATATGAGTGATTAGAGGATAATACCCCCCTCCACCCTCCATTTCTTTCACCAGTGTTCAATTCCACTAATTTGATTGTAACCAATTTAAAACCATCAACTTTGGGTTTAAAAGTTTAACTATTGAGTGTAGTAGAGTCGATGAAATTTCAAAATCATAAATCTAAATCCCTAACTCAAATTTTAAAACCCAGCCAAGAAACAAATGATTCTCAATCGTAAGAACCATAATATCTGAATAGAAAGAGGAAAGAGATAAAATTGGAGAAGTTAAAGAGATAAAATATGGGTGAACAAACAAGAAGGTTAATATATTTGAGCTGAGGACCCTGTTTTGATCAAACATAGTATATAGCTTATGAATATGTCAAGTTTGCCATAAAACGAGGAAAATGAAGTTGGCTCATTCCTTTATTATTATTATTTTAAGCGTTGAAACAGTCTAGCATCTTAAAGAGCAAGATTAATACCTTTAAGTGCAACAATTATCTCTTCAAATCACCTCTCTTGCATTTCTATCTAGATCATTCTTAAGAGCTTCACTCGTTTTTCCATTTCTGTTCTTATATTGGCCAACACCCAACTAATTGTTCAAGCTGTGTGATGTACTGATGCGCTGTGTCATGCTTAATGGGCATATCTTAAGCTCTTATACCAATTGCTATGAATAATCTTGTGAAAGGAAAGTGTTTAAAGTTCAAGCATATCTCAAGTGCCTACTGAGTTTGCATCAATTTTGTTGCACGGAGTATAATAATATTAAGGGAAAGTTCCCGAAATGGGACTAAAAAAGTTTGAAAATTCCAAAATAGGACTGTCATGTTTTTATTCCCAAAATAGGACTAATTACTGCCAAATTTGGAAAATACTGCCATGTTTGAAGTCTGGTACTGTCAAAACATGACAGTAATTAGTCCTGTTTCAGGAATAAAAACATTGAAGTCCTATTTTGGAATTTCCAAACTTTTTTAGTCCCATTTTGGGTAATATCTCTAATATTAATAGCAAATTTTTCAAATATGATTAAATTCCGAAATAGGATCATCATGCTTTTATTCTATACAAATAGTTAATTATTACTAAGCTTAGAAAAGACTATCATTTTTAAAATATGATAATATCAAAACATGAAAATAATAAGTTCTATTTTGAGATAAAAATGTGATAATTCTATTTTGGAATTCCTAAACATTTTTACTCCTATTTAAGACAATTTGTTCAACATCAAATACTAACAATCAAAACAATTATAACTGTAGATGGGATGATAATGTGTCACCAATCCGTTCATTACATGCCATCTAAAACATACTACCCCTCGCTCTAAAAAGAAGTTCACACTTTTCTTTTATGCATGTCCAAAAAGAAGTTCTCATTTATACAAACAGAAACAACTTTTAACCAAAAAGTCACACATACCCTTACTTTTTATCTATTCTTTTTCTCGATTTCACATAAAGCAAGGGTATACTTGAAAAATCAAAACAAAATTCTATCTTACATAAATATGTGTGTAGGTAAAACAAGAACTTCATTTCGGGACAAATAAAATCAATGTTTTAAAAGGCGCTAGGCGCTAGTCGGCCGTCAGCCCAGTGCCTAGCGCCTAGGCAACTAGGCGGGAACTAGTCGGAGACATAAAAATTGCATTTTATCTATATTTTTGCATAAATATGTCAAGTAATATTGTGTTTTGTGTGTGTATAAAATAAATATATACACATACATTAACAAACAAGAATGATAGAATTATCACATTTAATCATACGTTGTATATGACAACTAATCACTTAACTTCATTGTGTTATAAATATAAATAATACTCCGTAATAAAATTTAGGTATATATACAAACATATAGAGTTTTTATCTTAATTTCCAACTTCATTTCTTTATATTTGTGGCTAAAATTAAAGTACTTATATCGCTTAGAAAATAAAAATTAAAACGTAAAGTAATGTTCAGCGAATGTAGACGGCCTAAGCGGCCGATTATCCGTTCTAGGCGGGCAACTAGGCACCATAGGCGGCCGACTGATTCACCTAGACGGCAAACCAATTAGTCGGAGCGCCTAGATGAAAATCGGGGTGCCCGACCACCGCATAGTGCCTAGGCGCGGACTAGTCGGACGCCTAGAACGATTTTTTGAACAGAGGACAAAGTAATAGATTAAGGATGTTTTTACTCGAAATTATTTCAGTCCCAAATCAAACCAGACTTTAACATACCAGATTAGATTTCTGTAATTGTAAAATACACAAACATCTATCAGATCAAACCTGATCAAACTAATCAGAAAATTATAATCGAAGTACACATCATAACAACATAAGAAAATGTAAATGGAAGATTTAGTTTGAGAAGTAAAAACATCCTAAACGGCTCAACAAAATGTAAAATGGAAGATTTAGGGGTGTTTGGAACTGATTCTGCTTCTGCTTCTTTTTTAAAAGCGGAAGCAGAATCAGAATCAGTTTTCAGAAGCTGGTACCCCCAGCTTCTAAAAAAACTGATTCTGAGAGTAAATTAGAGCTCCAGAAGTGCTTCTGGAATTTCACCCAAACACTCCAACTTCTGCTTCTGCTCCCTGAAGGAGCAGAATCAGTTTTGAGAATCAGATCCAAACACCCCTTAATTTGCCAAGTGAAAACATCCTTAACAGCTCAAGAAAATGTAAAATCTAAGATTTAATTTGACATTAGAGAGACAAAGGGTACAGAGCTGCGCAACAAGCAGCTTTAGCAATTCACAACACAATTGACACTGAGAGCTTAGCACAGGCGAAGAAGGATGCAGACCCTTACGAGGCGATTGGGGCATCGATGTCTGGACCTACCATCTTCACCTTCAATTTCAGCTCTCAAATCTTTCTATCCCATTTCCGATCAGTGTACCCTCTTCACATTTTAAGGACTAAAACATACAAGTCATCTTTTAATTTTTGCTCGTTTCCGCCGTTTCACCATTTTTTCCTTTTGTTTGTGTTCTCATTACTTTTCAGGCTATGGAATTGAAACTCCGCGTTACGCATCTGCCCTCGCCACCAAAGGTGTTGGGCATCTTGTTCGCAAGGGGACTGGGGGAAGGTCATCTGTGAGGTAATGCACTGTCCTGAACCTTTGATTTTTGCTCCGGTTTCTCTCGTTTTCCCTTAATCTGACGCCATTTGGTAAAAATATTCCCAGTTTAACAACCGTAGCTTATTATTTAATGTAATTATTATTCCATACATTCACAGTTTTAAATGGGGCTTTCCTGACATTTATAGAATTTGTTCTTGATTGTCTCCTTTATGTACACTCTTCTTGATTGATACTTCTTTCTTGAAGTTGTAGTTTTGAGTTTTGTGTTATCCATATGCTGATGGAATAAAATGTGTTGTCTGAGGCAGTGGAATTGTTGCAACAGTCTTTGGAGCTACAGGTTTTCTTGGGCGTTATCTTGTGCAACAGCTTGGTAAAGTGCTGATCAAATTTCCTTGTAGTTTTTGCTTTTGCAGTTGATGTACAATCTAGAGTATGGATAATGATCAAGTATGGTAGGCCTAAGATGCACAATCTCAGGCCTCTTTCATATTTAGAAATTTGACAACTTTAATGGTCTAATTTTTTTTGTTCATTAGTATTAACTATTGATTTTTGCTGTTAGATGTAAAATTTGTAAAAAAAATAGACACCCCATACTCACTTTTTCACTTTAATGCTAATGTAACGATTAATTCATCATTAAAACAGATCTTTATTTGTTAAAATTTATTTGTTAAATGATCTAACAATTAAAATTAATACTTGATATGAATAAGTAAAGAAATTGGGATAATTGGATTCATCTTTGCCCTAAAATGAAAGAGGGCCTTAGATTATGCATCTTAGGCCTACCTTACATAATCATTCTCCCTGGAGAAATATATAGAGTATGTTCAATGAAAAACCCAAAGGCATCACATCAAATGTGTGTTTTAGAATTTCTAACTAGCTGCAGTTTATGCCTACAGCTAAAATGGGTTCTCAAGTTTTGGTACCTTTCCGAGGTTCTGAGGATTGTCACCGGCATCTGAAGTTAATGGGTGACTTGGGTCAGGTAAACTATTTTTACCTGTTCTTTTTGCTCATACAGTCACATGATGATGTGTTTCCCATGATGATGTTTTTGTTCTCCATGTTTATAATTTTCTGCAGATTGTTCCGATGAAATACAACCCCAGAGATGAAGATTCAATCAAAGCAGTGATGGCGAAAGCTAATGTTGTCATCAATCTTATTGGTGTGTGATCTGTCTTGTCGCTCAATAGTTTGTGATGTTATGGTTACTCTCTTGGATATATCCTTAAATTTCGGTCCATTTGAAACTCAGAAATGGTAGGAAAAGAAATAGAGTAAAGTATTGTAGAAATTTGCGGAAGAAAAAAAAGCTGGGCTGGTCCGGGATAGGGGTAATAAAACATTTTTTAAGCTCAAATTTTTAAAGAAGTTTTCCTAAATAGGAGTAAAAGCAGTGTGAAATTCCTAAACAGGACTGCAGGAGTACTATGCCCCTCCCAAGTAGGAGTAATTATTGTCATGTTTGGATAATACTGTCAATTGTGGAAAGGCAAAAATATGGCCGTATAATTTCAGCATGTCAGTGAGCTACTCTATTTATTGGAAAACCATAGTACTCCTATTTTGGAATTCAACATTGTTTTTACTCATATTTCGGGAAAATTCTTTTTTTTTGACATATGTTAAGTTTGCCTTTGTTTATTTATTTTTTATTTTTGTCTGGAAGGTAAACCTCTGTATGAGAGGAAAGGGAGGTGCACCTTATCACTTTTACCAATGAATATTTCTAATGCAAAATTGAGGAGAGGGATATCCTCAGGTCTAAACAAAGTGCCAAATTAATGGGGAAGATCATCAATTCATCATACAATAATAGAGATTAGGAGAGTCATGTGGTGCCATTGTGTGTGCAATTTGATTTCCTTCACTGTAATTGTGAGTACTGAGTAGTTCTACTCTCCATCTAGATGAGCGAGTAGTTTTGTCAAGTTTAGCCCAAGTCTTGTGGGGGGGGGGGGGGGTCTTTCTCGGGCCTATATTAACCAGCATTTTGGCTCAGCTTCGACCATTATATTAAGGTTGTGCTTTTGACATAGGTTCAAGCCATATAGTAGAGCTTTACATTAGATCTTTTGGTAGTTCCAAGTATGAAGGGTGATGGCAACATTAGCTGTACATTTTTTGCGTACCAGGTAGGATCATCCCAAGTGATGGGCTGATGGCACATTATGCCTTCCAAAATTTCTGAAGAATAGCATCTTTGGTGGCAGAAACTGCCTAGTGGTAACTATCCCTAGCCATGTCCCACCAATGTGTGCAAAGCCGCCTTAAGTTCTACGAGGAGCCCACTTTGATATCACACAGTTTTCCGTAGTATTTCCAAAGATTAAAAATATCTAGGCATTGAAAGAGTCAAAGAGGCAATGGATTGAGGAGGTATTGTTAACAAAATGGTCATCTTGAGGGAGGTTAAGCCCACATTTTTGAAGAATTTCTGGGAAGGTAGTATATTTATGAAATACTTTCCAAATAAAGAGACTTGTTTAGAAGCATTTTCTGCCCAAATCAATGTAGAAGAGAGCATTTTGTTAATAGATACTTCATACTATGCTACCAAATATCTATTTCTATTATATAATGACCAAGAAATCTAAACATTTGTAAAAATACAAAGCATGAAGCCATCATTTACCTTTGTGATTCCCATGGTAAAATCATCACAAGAAAATAACTTTCCATTGCATTTCTTCCCTTCCCCTTGCACATTGTGAGTGTAATTTGAATCAAATTGTTAACAGGAAGGGAGTATGAGACAAGGAATTACAGCTTTGAGGAAGTCAACCACCATATGGCTGAACAGCTTGCTGCGGTACATTTCTTCACTTAATACAATATTCTTAAATCTGCTAGTTTGTATACTCGGATCCCCTTGAGCACTAAGCATATATACCTTGAAATTTATAATGTTCGAATATCTTTTATTTTGTGAAATAGTGATGGAAAATGCTCAGTGAAGTTGTTTGTGGATAATAACATAAATTTTGAAAGAATTGATTTTTCTATATAATCATTTTTTAAGAAATTCAATAACAACCAATATGAAAATGAGTTTTTTACAAGAATATTACTAAAATAAAACTTATTTACATAAATATGACTATTCATTACTACGACGTAGTGTTGTGGTAATTTAAGTTCAAAACTTGAACATGAATTACTATGATTTCATTACTACTCTAGTAACTAGTCATATTTTTGTAAACCATCTTTATTTTGGTCATATTTATGTAATTATTTCTATGAAAATCTAAGCTGAATGAAAATAGGTGCTTGCATGTTTCCAGCTTCTATATTAATGGTGAAATGTAAGTTTTGAATATGATGGCAGCTATACTGATTCATTTCTTTCAGCACCATCCTTTCATTCAATTGGTTCATTAATTATCTTATAATACCCTAATGTAATTGTTTTTTTTTTTGTATTTACAGATTGCCAAAGAACATGGGGGAATCTTGAGATTTATACAGGTTTCATGCTTGGGTGCATCTCCAAAATCCCCATCCAAAATGCTTAGAGCTAAAGCTGCAGCTGAGGAAGCCATTTTACGTGAAATTCCTGAGGTAAGCATTTTATTTGTTGTAGGTTCCTTTGAGGTGATTAACCATTTTGCTCGTTTGCTTCTCTTATTTTGCACACCTCTACTTTCATCTCATTTTCTATTTACGAGTTTATTTTACGAGATGCATGTTCTCTTAAAGTATCTACATAGGCACTATTACATATTTACACTTTGTTTGGATGAATAGAGAAAACAGCAACAAAGAAGTTGAAGGGTAGAGAGAATGAATACATCTTTAGGGCTGAATTGAAAGTAGCAGAGGCAAGTAGAAGTGGCGAGAAAAAATAAAGTTTTTTTAAAGACAAGTTCGCCCTCAACATATAGACAATTGTTGCATGAATGAGGTTAAATTTGTATCTTCAATTCGACACTTCTCAATTTTTCCAGCCACTTGTAGAGAGATTTTATTTTGTGTCTCACAGTTAGTTTCTTTCAGGCCTAGTTTTTGCCTCGACCAAACCATGTTATTTTATTTTATTTCTCTCCCACTTTTCTCTCTTTGAAAACCTATTTAACCAAGCAAACAATATTGTTGTACTTATGTATCTTTTAATTACCATATTCTGGATGATCTATAAATCCTCCGTATTGTATTAACTATAGCAAAGTACAATTTGCATGTTGTTGATCTTTATGTCTCCAGGCAACTATATTGAAGCCTGCAGTGATGATTGGTACTGAAGATAGAATTCTTAATCCTTGGGCACACTTTGCAAAGAAGTTTAGCTTTCTCCCATTATTTGGAGATGGATCTACAAAGTATGTTGGCACACATCTCTCTCATCACCATTGCCAAACTTTCTTAGAGCTTCGGTGTCATATTATTTTGGCATGTTCTTGCAGAATACAACCTGTATATGTTGCTGATGTTGCATCTGCAGTTGTTGCATCACTGAAAGATGATGGTACCAGCATGGGTAAAGTTTATGAACTTGGTGGTCCTGACATTTACACAGTACACAAATTGGTGAAGCTTCAACTTCTACCCCTCTTTTCTTAATTCATTTTTTCTTTCCTTCTTGAATGCAAATTGATCTCATAGGTGAGATTTTGTTGCAGGCAGAGCTTATGTATGACATGATTCGTGAATGGCCTCACTATGTTAAAGTTCCTTTCCCCATTGCTAAGGTGAGCATGAACCCTATGCTAAGGTTTCAAATGGTTGAAGGGGCTAAATCTACTCATGTTGTGTCAGAATCCACTAATTGTTTAAATAAAATATATTTCTTCAATAAAGAAAATCTAAAAATAATTGCAAAGTATTAATTTACATAAATCTACAATTTTAGCCAAAAAGTAACTTGTGTAGTACTTCCGTGCATTAATAACAGTGGGATAAGACTAGTAAACCAGAAAAGGGTTCACCAGACAGGCTCCATATTAGAAAATGTATTTTCATATATAGGTTCTAGAGCCACCCATTTTTCTCCGTTTTATGTGTTCCTTTGCTGTTGTTTTCAGGCAATTGCCACTCCTCGAGAATTACTACTGAAGAAAGTTCCCTTTCCATTGCCGACCCCTTCAATATTTAACCTGGATATGATTGAAGCCTTGACCACTGATACAGTTGTGTCAGAAGATGGTTTGTGCCCTTTGTACTCATTAACTTATCAATATCTATGTAATTAATTAACTATATCCCCCATCATTTTGCACATAGATCATGGAAGAGTAGCTATAATTGGAATGATTAATTTTGTAAGCAATTCCCAATTCTACCCTTAGTAATGTCAACAATGTGTATTAAGAGTAGTATTTGTTTCAATGAGTAGGGGTAAACCTTGAAGTGAAAATTAAATGCACACCCAATAATTTAAACAGCTGCTGCCATCATAAGGAATTCCTATTCCACCATTGTTTTGCAGCATTAAAATTTGAGGATCTTGGACTTGTACCACAAAAGGTGAAGGGTTATCCAGTGGAGTTTCTTATTCAGTATCGTAAAGGGGGACCTCATTATGGCTCGACAGTTAGTGAAAAAGTGTCTGCAGATTCTTATCCGTGAGTTCGATTTGGAACAGTTTCTATTGTTGGAACAGGTAATTATGTAACATCAAGTGATACACGGCTCGTATGTGTTATGCAAGAACTTTGTAATTATTTAGATTTTTATGCTGAGCCAAGCGAGTAATAAATTGATCAATGAATCAGCAAACCTGATTAACAAACAGTTCTGCTCACTCTCTACTCAGCCTGGGTGGGTGGTTATTTACCAAGACTTTAGGACTTGTGGGCAAAGACCCATGCCATCTTCCCTCTTTATATCCTTTGCATTCATTTCCTTATTGACAAAGGTGTAGCACTTCTCTTACATGTTTATATACTACTGCCAATTGTTCTTTGAGTTGAGCACCGATATGTTGTGTGTTGATTGAGTGCTTACTAAAGTAATAGCGGTGGCAAGAATGTGTAAGACTCTCAACTGTTAGGAATAACAGTAAATGGACTACATTTTATGCTTGACATTTTCGTAGCGCAGTTCAGCCCCTTTGGGTTAGATTGCTGTAAATCCAGGTATTGCACTATTGCAGTAGTTGCTATCATTTAGTTTGGATGGAGCGTTGAAATTGAAATAAATTAGCTCAATTGAAAAGCTTACATGTTTTTAGCTTTTCCTTCAACCCATTTATTGTATGTCTCTGTACCACAGTACTTTTTAAGCAACTCAAAATCTCTAATACTCAATAATAAAAAAAAACTCCATACTAGGGATGGACCCGGGCCGGTTCGGGCCTGGGCCCGACCGGGCTTTTTCTTTGGGAAGGGAGAACGTGAACCGGCCCGGGTAGGCAGCGGTTCCCGGCCTTGCCGGGCCGGTTCCGGTTTAATGTTAATTTTTTTATTTTCTTTTGATTTTCTAAATTACCCCCGACCCCCCCCTTCACCCCCCACCCCCCAAAACACCCAGCCCAACCTGGTAGAAACAAAAAAAAATTGGGAAAAAAAATTGGCCCGAACCGGGCCGGTTCGCATTTTAGGGGGCCTGAGCCCGCCCCGGGATTTGAGCGGTTCCGGTTGGCCCAAACTGGCCCCAAGACTGGGTACCGGGCCGGTCCGGTTCCGGGCCGGGCGACCCGACCCGAGTCCACCACTACTCCACATGCCATCAAATCTCTATCATGACTTTTTTCATCAATAACTTCAAGCATGTTTATTGACTTTATTCCCCCAGTTACCGTTCAACTTGGCTATGGCCCAAATTCCAGTTTTTTTTGATATCAAGATTCAATCCGAAACCCAGTTTTCGATGATACCAATTATGTTATGATAACAATGATTAATACGTAGTATATGAATAAAATAAAATGGACAGTGCGACTTTTTATGCAGCACAATTGACCATAATAGTTGTTTTTAATGATCATTTTCAATTTTAAATAACAATTACAATGACAGCATACCCATAATATCTTTAGACTTTAGTAACTCATTATTGCACATAAGTTTTCTTAACAGATAGTTATATTTCAGAAAACTTTTAATGTTTATAGTACTTTAGGTCTCTATCTTCATGAATTATTTAAAATGATTTACCACTATAATCAAGTATAAAAAAGGAAAAGAGGAACATGGGTATGTTGTCAAAGTCATCACTACTTTACTTGTGAAAGGAGAAAGGAACCTTAATTGGTTCTATACCTAATGGATTTGAAGCTGCAGGTGAATGAAATATAATTTAACTCAATTTAGTATATGGTTATATGCAAGACATTTTATCACATCAATCCATCAAACTGATCTGAATCATGTCATCAACGCCTGAATTTGGGCATTGCGATGATCCCGATGAGATGGAAGGTATTCACAGAGCATCGCCATTCGAAGATGTCAAGATGGAAGGGATCCACAGCAGAGCACCACCATTTGAATCTGTCAAGATGGAAGGGACCAACATAGGAGCGTCGATGGTCACAAGTGAGTCACAATACAGCGGTTGCATAAACATATATATCAACAACAACATTCAAGGAGTGAATCACTCCATCTTATTAGGCAGCCATGTGGATCTGCGAGATCCGGGCATTCGCTTTTCCGTTAATGGTTTGACATTCCAATTTGAACCTCAAGGACACAAGACAAGAGGCAGTTTCATGTGGCTAGCATCTTTGCTACTGCTTTCTTTGTCAGTAATCGCCTCTTTCGTCTTTTCTTGGTTCAAAGATTCAAATTCTCATTAGGAGATGTTTGCTATACATTTTTTCAGCTTCACTATTTCACTACGTTTGCTTATTGTGTTTATAATGACAAATAATGCATGAAATGCTTTTAGAGATGAATGGCTTAAAATCAGAGAAAACGATATTTCTTTATCTAATTATAGAAGTTGCTTTCATAATTTTATTAAGGAATTATTTCAAACAATATACACATAAGTAAGAATTATAATAAAAAAATGAGTATAATAATTTATAAGAGAACTTAAAAACAATCACACCATTTGGAATAATTGAAATAATACATAATTTCACAAGAATGATCTCTGCGCTCCATTTGAAAAAGGAAGATAAAAATGTACATACATACTCATTAGTAACAAGCGGAGTGGGAAAAATAAAACTGTAAATTGGATTACAAAGTGAATATAAATGGGAACCGAAACTAAAAGTTGCCTCATTTCTTGATGAATGATAAGCCATTGGCATTAGCATACCGCTCCATAAATCTCATAAACCTGTCCCATTCTCTCGGATTCCTCATAATGTACTTAGCTTCAATCCCCGCAGGTTTACCGTTCACAAACCTGGCATTTACATCCACTGAACGAAGAACCCCTTCTTCGTCAATCATATAAAACCCAGTAATATCGCCAACCTCTTTAGAGGAGTCAAATACGGAGGGTTGGTCAAACCTGAATGTGGCCACACCATTCGTTCCATCCTTGGATTTGGTTAGCTTCACATCGGGTACCGTCTGTTCATCAGTTCCTTGTATGAACTGGATTGATGGTTTTACCATCATTATTATACTTTGTCTAGGAGTTGTTTGGCTACATCTGCGGGATGAAAACTGCAAACGGGGGAGGTTTCGACCAGTGAAGAATGAAGGTGCATTTTGATGAACAATACCAGATGCTATACCTGCACATCACATAACAATAGCAACCATTTTGATTTCAATCACTAAAAAGATTTAGTTGAGTGCCAAGACTTGACCAGACAAGATTAGGCCTAAACAGATTAGACTACACTAAACCAAAATTGCATATTAATAATACATGTATAAATCAAACCACAACAGACAATATTAGTTTAAAAAGTCCAAACCAAACCAAAGACACACCAGGTCATACCTCATCAAATAATTCTGGTACAAATGAATTGGCCAAAATGTTGGAAAACCTTTACCTATTAAACTCTTTAAGGTTTGAGTTAGGCTCTAACCATGTTCTTAATACATTTCCAACATGAATTGGTCCTCTATCTTTAATAACGTTCATTCAGACTTATTTTTTTTAGAGAGGTTTCTATTATTTAGTGTTGCATATCGATTGATGCCCAAAAGTTTAGAAGATCCTAAAGTTCTTGAGCAATCCAAAAGTAACCCAACAGAATCCATATGTAGAAAAAACTCATTAATGAAGTTCCTAAACGATTTTTTTAAGCACTTGATTTTGAATTAAGTTGTGGTAAGATAAGATTCTTTATTCCAAACCGGGTTTTAGAGTGTAGAAGAGCACCATCCTGTGTGAGAATTTCCGTGCATCATATCATATAGCCAGTTTAGCTATGGTAAATATAACTAAAGAGAAAGGTTAATGAAACATTATCTGTGCACATTTTTTGTGTACTACAGGTGTGTATCACTCCACAGAGAATGGAATGAAGAAGAATAGGATAAATTACCAGGAACAGAGCGAGGCTGATGGCAACGCGAACATGGATGGGAGAGAGCGAGGGAGTGTAGTGATGCCATTGTAGAAAGAGGGAGGGAGAGAAGCTGAGGAAAAGGATGAAGGGAAAGAGATGATGATGGGGTTGGGTGTCATTCGGACAGCCATCCATTCCCTCGCAGATCAGATTTAGCTGCTTTTGAAAGGATTGAATTGGTTGGTGCTGGTTCTTTGACCCGCCCGGATATGTGGACCATTTGGGATCCACTTTCTTAACTTGAGATTTTATGGTAAGGTGCAGTAGATCTAGTTCATAAAAATGTTTCAGTTCCTTCAGGGAGCAGAAATAAATATTGCAGTATTCGATAAAAAATACAGAAATTCTTTTGAGTGTTTTCAAATTATTCATGGAATCAGTTTTTTTTTTATAAATTAGAAGATATCAACTTTTGATAAATTAATTCTAATTTTACTTCTCTGTTTTAACAATATAAATTGAATCAATTTCAAACACTCCGTAAAAACAACATGAAACCTCAAAATAACAATATTTCCTCTGTCCAAAAAATGTTTTGGACAATTCATTCGGCCCATTCGTCCATTATGGGAGATTTGTACCCCTCCCTTATTCCCTATAATTATGAGGTTTTTCATTCATGTTCGGGGATCCTCTTCTTCTTCTTCTCCTTTTCCATTATGCATCCTCTCTAGAAAATCTTGAGAGCTCTATTAATGGCTTCCAAGATTTTTTTGAAAGGAAACTGATTATATTATTATAGCAACCAAAATTCTCAAAGTACTTCCAACCATACATTGCCAAACCTCCTCATGAGGCTCCGCATAGCCATAAGTCCCTCCCACTTTCTGGCTAGACATAGAATAGACCACCTCGAAAGGAGCGAGACTATTCGCGAATCATGTGAGAGCTTTGAAGCTTTTAACGACCAAACAAGCCTTGTCGCTTCCACACACAAAAAAATCCTGAGCAAAACATAAAAAACAAAGCACCCACCTACCGCCATAGTTCATAACAAAAATAAAAGCAACATGATTTGACAAAAGGTAAAAAGCGTAAAAATAATTAAAGACTTCATGGCATCCTGCCTTATTTATTCCTCCATGCTTTGACAGGGTATCTGTCAGTTCTGTGCCTGGTGATTTGTAGCTCGCCTCCTCCTCGTTTTTTCCCCTCGCATAGTCGCATGTACGAGCTCCATTTCCTCCCCCATCTGGTAACCGTCTGACTCCTCCACACGTCTGCGCTTCTGCTCGAGATTCCCTCTCTCTTTTGGAGAGGGCCCACCTTCCAGGACGCTTGAACGCTTGACTTCCTCACAACCGGCCACCCACTGAAACGGTCAAAGCAATTGCGACAATCTCTCAAGCAGCCGATTGTAGCCCCAATTCACCCCTTTGTACGGACTCCAAACCACACCAATGATCCACCCGGATCAACAGCCGCTGGTACAACTACCATCCCGGTCAACAATGTGGCCAAGACCGCCAGAATGAGCATCTGAAATTCAGGCCTCGCAACCCTTATCGGCACAGATCCATGGTTTCTTCCGAATTCATTGAATGCCTTCAACACCACTCGCACCAATAGGAGAAGGCAAAAGCCCCTAGCCGCAGATGAACCTACTCTCCTTCCCTGAGCCGCCGCACCTACGTCGATAATCTCATAGTCTTCTCTCCGTCCCTACCTATTCTTACCCGGCAAACTGAGATCCACAAAGGAAGTCACGAATCTAACCCAAACACTGTGAAGCAAGAAAATTGCACCATCTACAAAAGATTCGCACGAATAGAAGCAAACAAAAACGAAATTGAAAAGCAAAAAGCAAAACAAGACTCGGAGATGGCCTTAGGAATCCGTCTGCCACAAACTATCCGCACATATGGCGGCGCCCAAAACCCTACATAGCGTAGGCACTTCCGCGCATATGGTTCCAAGACTTAAACACCTGTATTATGTAAAAATTGTATGAAAACATTAATAAAAAGAGTGGTTTGGAAGTTAGTCTGAAGAGTCCTGTGATTTTCTCCCTTTCGAGATTCCACATAAAAATCAAGCATTCATACATATATTTACATTGATACAAATTCGTGTTTATTAGTTTCAACAACACACGCACAAATATTCCAATAAGATATTACCTGACAGGACTGTCGTTTGTCCACCTCAATTTGAGGTGGTTTCCGTGATATTTTTATGAAATTTATGAGAATGTTCTTGATCAAATGTAGACTATCTTCACAAAGTTTCAGCTTAAAATTAAATCAAGAAGTCAGTTGTATAAATTATATTCCTTCCATATCATAATAAGTGTCACGTTCCTTTTTGGATTGTATCAAAATAAATGTCTCACTTCCATTTTTGAAAATAAATTGATGGGAAAATTATGATTTCCCCTTCTAATTTGGTCATAATTATCAGTCCAACCCTGTATTTATAGAAGTCCATAATATACCCCCTGAGTTTTTTTTAATTGAAACCCCCCTTCCAACAATTTTTAGTCATTTGAGAGTTAATTATGAGAGGAATTGTCTTATATGCACTCTATTAAAACTGAATCGTAGAATCAGTGGACATCTGGAGAGGATTTGTGTTTTTTGAACCTGGTCAACAAAGAATTCAAGACAAAGAAGACGAAGGAGCTAGAGAAGCTGATATGGGGATGCTGGGCGTTGTGGAACGAGCGCAATCAACGAGTTTGGACGGGCAAAGCTTCACCGACGTGGCAGCAGGTTAACCGGGCTAGTGTGCTGGTGGAGGGCTGGAAGCAGGCGCAAGTGCGGGTCTTGCGGGGGAGGAGGCCGCAGGTCGCGCAACAGAGCAGGACATTCTAGTGCAGACCAGCTCTCAGCTATTGGAAATTGAATGTTGATGCGGCAACCAGGGCGGACAAATGCGGTCTAGGAAGGTGTCTCCGGGGTGACGATGGACAATTTCATAGCTGGAGCAGCTAAGGTATGGCCGGGAAGACTTTTACCATTGGGTGCAGAGTTAGTCGGGATTAGAGAAGCTCTGAGCTGGCTGAAAGATTTTGGCGGGACCTCAATCGAGGTAGAATCCGATGCAACGGGGGCGATTTGTGATATTCTAAACGGCTCAAGTTGTTCATTGGTGGGTTCGTTGAGAGAAGACATAAGAGACTTGACGAATTTTTTCTCCAATATTTCATTTTGTCATGTTAAGCGGTCAGCGAATAAGCCTGCACATTTGTTAGCTAGAGCGGTTTGTTCTTTGTCTGATTCGCAGTCTTGGCTTCATTTCCCTCCTTTTATTGTTTCGGCTTTAGCCAACAATTTGATTAATGATAATTAAGCTCATTTCTTTCAAAAAAAAAACTGAATCGTAGAATAAGGGATTAAAAGCCCTTCATCGACTCTTCCCATACACTGGGCAAATTCTGTTATGCCTTCCTCGTTTCTTTACTTTTTCTACAATGCTTATCAATCTCCAACATCAAATGAAAACTAAATAAGCCTCAACTCACAAAATAAAGTTAGTAAAATACGGAGTACTAAAATTACATTCCGTCAATTATATTGCAAAACACAACCTATTGAGATGCACTTTATAAACTTCTGCAAATTGCCATTTTCAGAAAGGAGAAGGCTAACAGAGGCTTAAATTATCTCCAACTCACTTAGCTTTAGCCATTTTCAAAGTAATTGAATGATAAGCGTACAACAATTATCCTAAAGTTGAAAAATTCCATTGAGAAAGGAGAAGGTTAATAGATGCAAAAATGGTCTCAACCTTAATTTCAGCCATGTATTACCCGGAACACGGGGATGGCCGAATTCAATAAACAATCCATAGTTAAGAGTATATTAGTCAAAGTAATATCAATTCTGACGATGTTTCAAATTGAACTGTTAATATTTGACGTGGGTGTTTCTCGAATGGGGAGATTAAAACCATAACCAAAGCTAAAGGAGTAAATAATTGCTTTTTAAAAGTATAATGTTGAATTGATAATTATGATCAAATTAGAAGGGGTTAATCATAATTTTCCCTAAATTCACCTCAAAGGGAGTTACAAATTTACAATACACTTTAATAAAGTCTACACTACCAGAAATCTCTTACTTTTTTAAAAAATGTACAATAAATCCATAAATTATCTTAAATTACGTGTAAAACTTACTAAGACACTTATTCTAATATGGAGGGAGTATATAATAACTGCTTTCTTTATATATAATTTGGCGCAGTTAATTTTAATAATTTATTTAATTTAATTCTCGATTGAATTGTAAGGTGAAATTTTGTGGGGATAATATAGACTTGATGAATAATATGTTCACAACGTTTCATCAAAAAAATCTGCCAGGAACCACCTCAAATTGAGGTAGCCGGACGATGGCTCCGATTAGATATACCTACCGGAAAAAAACTTCTGATAGTAGGTAATCTGACAAAAAGACTTCTGAAAACCGGATGACGGCTCTGGTTGATTAATAATTGAATTGCTATCAAGTACGATCATTAAAATTCATACGGAGTATTTTTTTTTAGATTTTGCCCTCAAATTTGTTTAAGTAACATTAATCGAATGCCTTAACATTGAATGCAACTTATAGCTAACATGTAGGAGTAATAAAAGGCTCAATTAGGTATAGATCTAAGGATGAATAGTCCTAACATTTAGGAAATATTCAACTAATTGCTCTCTTTACTTTACATAATGATCATTAGGACTTTTTAAATATATAATTTCAAATTCGGTATATCATATATGTTTCTGATGAAATAACATGCCTAAAACAGAAATGTTAATTAGAGTAAGGGAGATCTCTCAAAAATAGGACTAAATAGACTTTGAAATTCCAAAACATGATTGTTATTTGTTATATTCTTCTTCCCGAAATAGGAGTAACATGACAGTATTTACTACCATCTTTTAGTCATGACATGCCACATAGTTTCAGTACTATGCATTCCACATGCCAGTATTTATTATAATTAATAGAACTATTTTTCAATCGTGGTAGTATTTTTCAATTATAACAATAACGACTTCTATTTCGGGAAGAAAAATATAGTACTTCTATTTTGGAACTCTAAAAGTTATTTACTCTTATTAAGGGCAATTTCCTTTACGGTAATGGTTTGTTCATGGACGGATCTACTCATCTAAGGGAGGGCCAACCTAGGCCCTGACTCACTACAACAACAACAACAACATCCAAGCCTTTAGTCCCAAACGATATTGGGGTCGGCTAACATGAATCGATACATGATATCACCAAAAGGAAAAGAAAGAAAATAAAGATAAAAAAGATAAGCTATTATAAAAAAGATAATATAAAAGAGATGAATATACATATAAAAGATAAAATAAAAAGGATAAAGTAATATTTATATATAAGGATAAAAATTTAAAAGAAAAAAAAAGAAGAGAAAAAAAGAGGGGAAAAGATGATACAAGATCACTCCTCCACACAAATACCCACCCTCCATTTTGCTCTCTCCAAAGCCCTAACCCTCATCCAATCCAAGAAGAAGCATATCACTTCTGACTCCCCTAACCCACGTCTGTTTGGGCCTTCCTCTCCCTATTCTTCTCCACACATCTCAACTCGTCTGACAGGTGCATCACTTGGTCTTCTATGCACATGACCAAACCACCGTAGGCGCGACTCCCGCATCTTATCTTCAATAGGTGCTACTCCCACCCTTTGTCTGATTGTCTCACTCCTCACTCGGTCATTTCTAATATGCCCACACATCCAACGCAGCATGCGCATCTCTGCCACACTCATCTTTTGAATGTGACATTGTTTCACCGCCCAACACTCCGTGCCATACAGTAATGCAGGCCTAATTGCTGTCCTATAAAATTTACCCTTCAGTCTAGTCGGCATACCTCGATCGCATAGAAATCCTGACGCACTCTTCCACTTCATCCACCATGTTCTGATTCTATGGGATATATCTCCATCTAACTTACCGTCCTTCTGAATTATGGAGCCCAAGTAACGGAACATATCGCTGACCGGTATCTCCTTATATTACCATCTAAAGTAATTCCGCTATTACCAATGCTTCTACCTCCACCAAACTTGCACTCCATGTACTCTGTCTTGCTCCCACTTAGTCTGAAACTCTTGTTCTCCAATGTTTGTCGCCATAATTCCAACTTTACTTTAACCCCTAATTGCATCTCATCAATCAATACAATATCGTCGGCAAACATGTGCACCACGGTATATCGTCTTGAATTGACTTTGTAAGTTCATCCATGACTATGACAAATAAAAAAGGGCTCAGAGACCGATCCTTGGTGCACTCCGATAGTAATAGGGAACTCCGCAGTACTCCGATAGGCCCTGACTCACTCCAAATTTAAAAAAAAAAATTAAAGTAGAAAATTATGTGCAAAAAAATTCCAATTTTTTTTGTACCAACATGTCTGGCAATATAATGCCCTGGCTCCATCACTGAGTTTGTTATTAGTTATAAAATTATTAAATTTGAATTAAAAGATTAATCCGAAAAACTTATAGAAATTAAGTGATAGTGTTTTTAAACCAAAGCACAAAAGAAACTTAATTTGAAACTTATTTGAACCCTTTTAGATTTCTCAAGGAGTGCTAACAATTTTAACTACAGTATACTCAAATTTTGGACTAAACATTCACAACCTTAATATTAGGTGCATGAGTTAATTTTAAAAGTCGAAAATTTAAGTTTGTTAGTAAGAAAACTAAGATCAACCTTTTAGAGCATGTTCGTTATCCCTCTAATTTTCAGCTTATCAGTCTTATTAGTAAGGGCGGATCTACTGTGGGAGCAGGGGGCAGCTGCCCTCACTCAACCCCCACCCAAACCCTATATATATATATATATATATATATATATATATATATATAACACACACACATACATACATGCATACTATGCTTTAAAAACGTTCCAGAGGCATCAGAAAATTGTACATAATTAAGGACCACAAATGGTTAAGAAAACATTAGTCAAGTACTAAAAGTAGAAAAGTGAAAGAAGTGGACTAAATGTGTAGTTGACATAAAATTATAGGACAAAAATATAATTAATTAATTTTTTTATTACAAGATTTGAATTTACATCCCCGAGACCTCATAGTATAAAATCTTTTTTAATGTCTTAATTAAAAATAATCTAATGAGATTATATATCTCTTCGTTCCCACAATCAATTATCTGAGTTGGTACAAAAGTTTCATCTTTTGAGTGGTTGTTTGCCTTTTTAAAGTTGTCGAATGAAATTTATTGGTTTTGTCATGAACTCATGATAGTGGATTTTTTTCAGATTCTACACCAGACTTGTTTATTTACTTTCAACTTTTTTTGGCTTGAGTACATTCAAAATTTGGAACAAATATCAGATAGGTGCATCATGTTAATCTTTCAATTTGTGTGAATATGGGAATTGGGAGAGGAGCAAAATAGTCACAAAATAAAATTGTAATTCATAAAGATTTTTTTTTTGGGATAGATGAAAAGAAATAGTTCAAAGTGCTTATAACTTAAATTAGCCCATAATCAATTATGATGTTTGAGACATAAGTTAAAGATATTATGTGTCGATGTATTAAGCAAAAGTCAATTTATGAAATCTAATATCCTCATTATCATATTTGGCTATTATTATCTACATTAATGCTTAATTAATTAAAATACTCGCTGGTCAAAAACAATAGTGTCAAGTTCAAAACATAAAAGGACATAAATGAACATATAATGAAATTATGATGTTTATAGAGATCGAACCTAGAACAAAAAGTTTTTTTTGAGTCACCGAAGAAAGAACTTAACACGTTACTCATGATATGAGTTAAACAATTAAAGTACGAGTGTAAAATAATAATCTATGGAATATGTGTTAAACAAACATCTAAATCAACCCACAATATAAAAGATATTCATTCACACAAAACAAACACTTCAAAAATGACATGTTTATGTTCACTAAAAATCTCCACGAGCCTAATTAAGTAGATTTATAGAGTCCTATAAAACTCTCATATAATCATATGGAGTCCTATACTTATATAGGTCATTTTATCTCATCAAGCACCATTCATTTTAATGGGGATGATAGCACTATAAAAATGAATGATAATGATGAGTATATTCAAAAGTACTATATCTAAAAATATAAAAATTACAACATACTTAAAAGTTCACAAGTTTAAAAACATATATATGAACACACACCACACACCAAACACCCGTACACATAAAAGGATAAAAAGATACAACTGTAAATTGGTTTCTGAATGAATTCTAAATGTGTTGACAAATCATTGGAAACTCATCATTGAAAAATATGTCCTACTTAATTACTTAAGAAAATATTTGCACTGATCAATTTATTATAATAGAAACAAAATAAAGTACAAT